CAATTTTTCTATTTTCTTGACATGTGCATCCGTGGTCTATATCTGTTCCTCAGGGGCGAACAACTTTTCTCCCATCCTATTTATTTCAAGGGACAGGCAGCTTGAAACAAAAACGAAACAAAACGAAAGAAGAATACACTATTTCTTGAAATGGTCACCCATCCTCTCGCCCTGCCCTCAGGGGTGAGCAGTTTACCCTGTCACTTACCCCCAAGCTTCAGGCGTTCCCCGTACGGGCCACCATATGCCGCAGTCCGGCTGGGCAAAATAACCGAGAGGTGACAAGCAACTTGAAGGTTGAAGCGGGAACTGAGCGAGAACTCAAAGTAGTGGGCACCCAAGGTAGAGGGAGCCGCTTCTCTGCCGGTCAGCAGAGGTATATATACCTAACTAACACACACATCATCTACACACATCATCTAGATACAGCAGTCAGCCAATAAGGAATCCTCATCATCTTAATGGCTCTCTGGCGTTGCTTCACAAACCACTCCTCCTGGCAAATTGCCAGGTGCCATCTTGACTTGATTTGCATCCCCAACAGGAAAAGATTTTTTTCCAGGAAGAAAGTAGATGTTGCAGATTTAAATTTAAGATTGGTTGTTAAGTGGAAAGGAACAAAGAAGCCATGTGGCCTTTGTCATATGGTCACTAATAATATTTTCTGATTTATGAGACTTTTCAGTTAACATTTACTGATAAGCTCCCTAGAAGTTGGCACAGGAGAATGAAGACTTCTGTCAAAAATTTTAGAACCTCAAAGCCAGACATGGCCTGTAATCCTAGGGACTCAGGAGGCTGAGGAGGGAAGATCAAAAGTTTGAGACCAGCCTCAGGAATTTAGACAATCCCGGTCTCAAAAAAGGGAGATGTAGCTCAGTGATAAAGTATTCCTGGGTTCAACTCCAGGTACTGCAGGAAAAAAAGCTCCAAATTTTACAGCTTCTGTGTGCAATTTTTATTATTCTTATAGCCATATGGAGTTATGACATACATGTGTTGCTTAACAAAGGAAACATTCACAAAAATGCATCATTAGACAAATGTCTTAAAAATGAACATGGACAGGGCTGGGGTTGTGGCTCAACAGTAGAGCACTCGCCTAGCATGTGCGAGGTTCTGGGTTCGATCCTCAGCACCACATAAAAATAAATAAATAAAAGATTATGTCCAAATACAACTAAAAAATATTTTTAAAAAGTGTACACAGACAAACCTATATGATAAATGTCAACCACTTGATATGGCCTCATGCAATCAAGAGACTTAAATAGGAGATACACAAGGCTGCTGCCACTAGCAGACTATTTTACAGTGAAAATTATTTGGTAAGTAGCAGTTCTCAAATGATAGTAAATAAATAAACCTGTAAGTTGTTATTACATATTGTATGTAATAGTTTCTTTTTAAATACCTTTATTCTATTTATTCATTTGTATGTGGTGCTGAGGATCGAAACCAGGACCTCACATATGCTAGCAAGCACTCTACCGCTGAACTATAGCCCCAGCCCCTATTGAAACTGTTACTACTGTACTTTTATAGGACTGCATAATAGGTATATTTATACTAACATCATAAATGTTGAGTAATGTGTTGTTCCATGAAGTCACAATGGATACAAGGTCACTAGGTGATAAGGAAGTTTTTTTTTTTTTTTTTTTTTACCTGAATTGTACACTTAAGGGATTATCTTCTTACATTCAGTCCACTTTTGGTAGAAACATTTTTATATGGCACATGACTACTTTTTTTCGACATATATACAACTACCTTTGTGTCTATGCATGTATTAATATGAAGGTTAATAGCTACTTTTTTTTTTCCCCCACATCCCTAGCCCTATTTTTTGTATTTTAGAGACAGGGTCTCACTGAGTTGCTTAGTGCCTTGCTTTTGCTAAGGCTGGCATTGAATTCCTGATCCTCCTATCTCTGCCTCCCAAGCCACTGGGATTACAGGCATGCACCACTGTGCCTGGCTAATAGCTACTTTTTATTGAACACTTACTATGTGCCAAGCATAGATCTGAATACATGATATATATAAAATAGCAATTTTATATTTATGAATAATTTATGTACATAATTTTATTTATATATAAATTTATTACATACATGTGTATGAATACAATTTTTTAACTCAGGATTTAACCCAGAGGTACGTTACCACTGAGTTACATCCCTAGCCCTTTTTATTTTGAGACATGGTTGCTTAGGGCCTCACTAACTTGCTGAGGCTGGCCTTGAACTTGCAGTCCTACCTCAGTCACTATGCTGGCAGAGGGAGATATTTGGATTGAACCCAGAGCCTTACAAAAGCTGGCAAGTTCTCTATCACTGAGCTACAACCCAACCCTTTATATTTTTCAATACAGGGTTTTGGAAAGTTTCCCAGTGATCTGTTGCTATAGCCTCCTGAGTAGCTAGAATTACAGGTGTGTGCCACCAAACCTAGGTAAACATATTCTTTAATTCCTTTATTTCTCACCATAGCCGTAGTTACTGTTCTTATATTTATTTCACATAGAAACAAATCCAGAGAGGTCAATTGTTGAAGTTCAATTTGAATACAAATAGTTCAGTAGCCCAATCACCAGCATGCTGTATTGTTCCTCTCAAAAATGGATGGGGGCTGGGGCTGTAACTCAGTGGCACAGCGCTTGTCTAGCATGTTTGAAGCACTGGGTTTGATCCTTAGCACCACATAAAAATAAAAGATAAAGGTATTCTGTCCATCTACAACTACAAAAAAAATTTTTTTTAAACAAAAAATGGATGGGCTGGGGATGTGGCTCAAGCGGTAGCGCGCTCGCCTGGCATGTGTGCGGCCTGGGTTCGATCCTCAGCACCACATACAAAGATGTTGTGTCCGCCGAAAACTAAAAAATAAATATTAAAAAAAATTCTCTCTCTCTCTCTCTCTTTTAAAAAAAATGTAATTGGGACTTTTCATTTAAAAAGGAAAAAAAATGGAAGGGGCCCATGTGGTGGCACATATCTGTAATCTCAGCAGCTGGGGAGGCTGAGACAGGAGAATCGCAAGTTCAAAGGTAGTCTCAGCAATGGCGAGGTGCCAAGCAACTCAATGAGACCCTGTCTTTAAATAAAATACAAATAGGACTGTGCTCGGGGGTTGAGAACCAAAGAAAAAGGAAGGGGAAGGGTCTGGGGTTGTAGCTAAGTGGTTGAGTGCTTGCCTTGCGCATGTGAGGCACTGGGTTTGATCCTCAGCACCACATAAAAGTAAATAAAATAAAGGTATTATTAAAAATAGAAAAAGGGAAAGAAATATACCTTCACTATTTTGTCATATACCTATATCTGCATTTATTCTACAGTCAGCATATAATTTGTAATATGTATAAGTGATGTGATATATTTATATAATCTCTATGTAATTGATATATTAGGTCACTCAATTTAATCGATGTCAGGTTTAAGGTCATAATCTTCCATGGAAAAGTCATCCAATGTGGATACCTACATCTTTTAAAATTCTTCAAGGGTTTCCCATTGTTCTTTCAATAAAATAAACATCCTTCCAGAAGCCTATGGTTTCTATCTACCTTTGCAAATCTTGCAGACTTAAAAAGGGCCACAAACATGGCCTGCACATGTCCCTCCCTTACCTTAATTCCCCATTTTTCAGAGCACTCCTAAAATTTCACTTCCTCAGAGGGGCCTTCCCTAAACCCAAGATCAGGTCAGTCACCTGCTGTATGTGCTTGTAATATGTCCCTGTGCTGTAAAACCCTTACTACAGGCCTAATTTTACATGTCTTTAAGTGACTGCCTGTCCATCTGTGACCAGATTATAACCTCTGTGAGGATAAAAAGTGGCTATTTTTGCTTAATTTTTATTCATCACACCTAGATAATACCTTAAAATTTCATTAGATAATTTTTTTAAATAACACATTATTTTATTTATTTTTATGTGGTGCTGAAGATCGAACCCATGGCCTCGCGCATGCTAGACACGCACTCTACCGCTGAGCCACAACCCCAGCCCAGATAAATATTTTTTAAGCTAATTATCCAAAGTGCTAAAGGAAAAGTAAACAATAGTACTTTGATGTTTTCTCTCATTATTATCCTGAAGCTCAGTTTACAATAGCAAAGAGATAAATAAGATTATACAATTTGTTAAATATTACCCATAGAATATTATTTCTGTATTTAACATAAGAAAAAATGCTTCATCGATATTTATATATAACAATATCTCCATGTAGGAATACTAGTACTCAACATTAAGGCCAGCTGTATTTTCAAACCAAACCTGCATTTTATGCCAGAGGACATGTGGGATGTTGCACCTTAAATCCCTACATTTGGAGTGTAAGATGTTTCGGACATAAGTATTATGAAATCAGTAAATTCTTACGGCACATAACTATGAAACCTGGATAGAAAGAAGACTCCTTAATTTCTTAATTGCCTAGCATGTGTGAGGCACTGGGTTTGATCCTCTATGCTATTTACCTCTATGCAATTTTCCAAACTTTATTTGGAAAATAGCATAGAGGTAAACATAATAAACCACATTTTCCCCTCTCCCAATCCCCGTCCTATTTTTTTTTTTTTTAAGAGAGAGAGAGAGAGAGATATTATTTTTTAATATTTATTTTTTAGTTTTCGGCAGACATAACATCTTTATTTTTATGTGGTGCTGAGGATCGAACCCAGCGCCGCGCTCATACCAGGCGAGCGCGCTACCGTTTAAGCCACATCCCCAGCCCTGTCCTATTTTTTATTTTTAGTTATAGATGACACAGTACATTTCTTTTATTTATTTACTTTTTTTTAATGTGGTGCTGAGGATTGAACCCAGTGCCTCACTGGCACGAGGCAAGTGCTCTGCCACTAAGTCACAACCCCAGCCCCTGTCCTATTAAAAAAAAAAAAATACTTTCAGTTGTAGATAGACACAATACCTTTATTTTATTTATTTTTATGTGGTGCTGAGGATCAAACTCAGTGTCTCACACATGCTACGCGAGCGCTCTTCCACCGAGCTACAACTCCAGTCTCTGTTCTGTTCTTGAAGACAATTGTTTTAAAAGAAATGAACAGCCTGTTGTGGAAGGTAACAAAAAAGTCTGAACTTGAAACTCAAACTTTGGTTCATTTTTCTGGCTTGGACTGGTCAGGAGTCACTTCATTCAGAATCTTCATTAGTGAATTTAACTGAGTATGCATCAGCATTATCTTCTCTTTCAGCTGGGAAAAAAAAAAATAGAGATGTCAGGGTATCTTACCCTTAACTCTCAATTAGTTGCAATGCCACTTCAAATTTTAGCTAGTGTATGTCATGATTGGAAGCTGGCAATATCTCAACATAGGTCAGGAATACATTTGTTCTGTTCTTGTTGTGAGAGTGCAGTAGTTGGAATTGAATCCAGGGATGCCTATTACTGAGCTACATTTCCAGTCTTTTCATTTATTGATTGATTGATGCTAAGGATCGAACCCAGGGCCACTGAGCAACATCCCCATCCCTTTTTGTATTTTATTTTGAGACAGGGTCTGACTAAATTGCTGAGGCTGGCCTCGAGCTTTCAATCCTCCTGCCTCAGTCTCCTGTGACCCTGGGATTACAAGCATGCACCACCACACACTGCTTATTTTTTGAGACATGGTTTTGCTAAATTGCAGAGGCTGGCTTCAAATTTTTGATCCTCCTGCCTCAGCCTCCCAAGTAGCAGAGATTACAGGAATTTATCACAGCACTTGGCCCTCTGTTCTATTTCTGAGAGAATTTTATACAAAGAAACCTAGCATACAGTAAGATCATCAGGTATAAAATTTCATTTGAAAACAAACAGTTGCTGAGCATCACTGCTTCTATGAAGAGCAGAATAAAGTGAGGTCACTGGATTTTGTTGAGCTAGAAGTATCAGGCTTCCCTTTTTTTTTTTTTTGCTGGGATTACAAGTGTGTGTCACCACACCTGGCTTCAACATGTAATTTGACTAAAAGTTATCATGAAATACAGAATTATGAATAACTTAGCCTCCTACTGAACTTTAGGTTAACAAAAAAAATCTTATTTGTGCAATTTTTAGATACATATTTCTGGTATAGTTTTCACAATAAACTCAATCTGTTTTACAGCTAATTCTAGAGCCTGTTATTCTTACTGAGATACTCTGATACCTGTGAATCATTTTTCTTCTGCTTCAAAGATATTTTCTCTTAATCTTTCAACATTTTTCCTGTGTTTGGGTGTAGATCCATCCCTGAGCTACATCTCCTGCTTGTTTTTTTTTTTTTTTTAATTAGTAATAATTCTTTATTTTTTTATTTATTGTTTTTTTAGTTTTCGGCGGACACAACATCTTTGTTTGTATGTGGTGCTGAGGATCGAACCCGGGCCGCACGCATGCCAGGCGAGCGCGCTACCACTTGAGCCACATCCCCAGCCCATCCTGCTTGTTTTTTTGAGGTGGGGTCTTACTAAACTGCAGAGGCTGGCCTTGAATTTATAATCCTCCTCACCCAGTATTCTAAGTAATTGAATTTATAGCTGTGTGCCATAGTACCTGCATCCCCTTTCCTTTTTTTTGGTACTTATATTACCAAAGCATTTTTAGGTATGCTTGATGGTTTCAACTAGACTCTTAGGCTTACTCGTTTTTCTTTATTCTTTTTTTCTCTCTTCTTCAGATTGCATAATTTCTATCTTCAAGCCTGATGATTCTTTCACTTGCTAATCAAATCTGCTGTTGAGCCCTTCTAGTGAATTTTTCATTTCAGTTGTTTATACTTTTCAACTAGGGAATTTCCACTTGGTTTTTTAAAATAATTTCTATCATTTTTACTAATACCTTCTATTTTTAAGACATTATCATCACACCTTCCTTAAGAATAATTTCCTTTACTTCTTTAGAAAAATTTTTTTTTTTCTTTTTGGTACCAGCAACTGACCACAGGAGCATTTAACCACTAAGCTACACCCCTTGACAGTTAAAAATTATTTTAAAATTTTGAACAGGGTTTTGTTAAGTTGCTTAGGGCCTCACTAAATTGCTGAGCTTGGCTTTGAACTTGTGATCCTCCTAAGCCTCTGGAATTACAGGCATGTGCCCCTGTGCCTGACTCCTTGGAAATGTTTTTAACGGCTTTTTAAAGTTTTGTCTGCAAAACCCAGTATCTCCACATTAAAAAACAAAAAAAAAAAAAAAAAAAAAAAAAAAAAAAAAATATATATATATATATATATATATATATATTTATTTATTTTTTAATTATAGGTGGACACAATATCTTTATTTTATTTGTGGTGCTGATGATTAAACCCAGTGCCTCACACATGCTAGGTAAGCGCTCTACCTCTGAGCCACAACCCCAGCCCACATCTCCATCTTTACAAAAGCAGTTTCTAATGCCTACTTTTTAACCTGTATTTGGGCCACATTTTATTTCTTTGTATGTTTCATAACTTTTAAAATAAAAAATGAACATTTTAGGTAATATATTGTAGCAAATCTGGATACCAGATTTCTTCTTGTTTGTTTAAATAGCTGGACTATCATAGTGATGCCTTCTCCTCCCATCCTCCAACCCCAGTTATGAGCATCTGATGTCCCTCACTCCTCATAACACAAAGCCTTCAGCAATGTGCAGTCACCCTGGGAATTTAGTGATTTTTGCACGAATCCCTGTGTTCAGTTATTTGCCTCTACTGGTATCATAACCAGCTGTCAATCAGTCTCTAGTTACTGCTGGCTAAACTGCTCCATTGTTATAACAGTGCCCAGAGGCAAAAATTATCCCATAATCTTTTTCAATTAAACCTGCTGCACTTGATGACAGGCCTATAATCCCAGCAACTAAGGAAGTAGAGGCTGGGGGATTACAAACTTGAGGCCAGCTTCAGCAAATGAGCAAGACTAAGACCCCGTCTAAAAAATAAACAGGAGGCTGAGGTTGTGGCTCAGTGGTAGAGTGCTTGACTAGTATGTGTGAGGCACTGGATTCAATTCTTAGCACCATATATAAATAAATAAAATAAAGGTCCATACACAACTATAAAAAAAAAAAAAAACAGGGCTGTAGATGTAGCTTAGTGGTAAATAAAAATAATTCAGACTCCTTTCCAGATAGTCTTTAACAGCCATTCTTGGTAAATCTAGTCTGTGGTTTAATTTGTTTCTCTCATGGAACTATCAGCTTCCTCTTAGTTGCTTTCTCTCTCCAAAATCTCCGTTGTTTTAAACAGCACCCTTAGTCTTGAACTCCTAAGTGTTATAAGTATTTCCTTTGGGAAGAGCTTCAGAATTCTGTTTTCACACTCTGCCTTTCACCCTGAGCAAAATCCTTGTGCCGCTGCTTCCAAATTGAAGGGTGGGGATAGTGTATTAGAATGACACCCTTGCTTTACAACAGGGTACTAGGCATGGGAGCTAGCTTCTGATCATCTCAGCTTTAGTTTCTCAGCATGAACTTTCTGCTTCACAAGCAAACTGTGCAATAGTAATTGAGTTTCCAATATTCCTGGCCTACTGTGCCTACAGTAAATCTATTATGCAACAAATGACATTCTTTTAGAATACAGCTTCTGTAACATTGGGGAGGGGAGGTAGTTGACAAATGCCATTGGCCCATTCCTACTGGGAGGATACCGTAGCCTTCAATTGGGGGTGGGGGTAAAGGATCCCCATGTTCTTGGCTACATCTGCTCAGATGGAGCTTCTCCCCTCAAAGCTGGAGGATGGGAGAGTCTGTTATGGCTCATGGTTTTTTCACATACTTGTTTCTCCATTTTCTGCATGCCTGGAGGAAAATTTCCACAGACTTAAGATGCTTTCTTTTCTTTTCTTTTTTGGTACTGGGGACTTTTTGGCACTCAGGGTGCTTTACCATTGAGCTACATCCCCAGCCCTTTTTATTTTGAGACATTTTCCAAAATGTCTCACATTGTTTCTCATGTTATTTTGTGGCAAAGTTTCTCACATTGCCAAATTCTGCAATCATCACCCATAACTTTTTCTTTTTCAGTACTAGGGATTGAACCCAGCGGAACTCTACCGCTAATACCCCCAGGCCTTTTTATTTATTTAGAGACAGGGTCTCACTAAGTTGCCCAGGCTGGCCTCAAACTTATGATGCTCCTGCCTCAGCTTCTCAAGTAGCCAGAGTAGGTGGTAGTAATAGTAATAATAGTAGTAGTGGTAGTAGTAGGTGCACACCACTCTGCCCAGCTATATGGGTGTGTTTACAATAGAATGACAGTGATATAAACTAAGCCTCCATGGTCTTATAATAATTATCAGCTAGCTAACCCTTTATAGAAAAAGCTTGCAATCCCCTGCCTTAGAACATGATCCATGAGCTTAGAACTTAGTTTTGGTGGGTGGGGGGAAATCACTGTTCTCCTGTCCTACCATTATTCCAAATATTAAACTTTGAAAAATAAATGCCATTGGTCACTAAATGTGTAATTTGCAAAGAACAAACTATTATATACTACTAAAAATAAACCAATAGTAAATTCTTAGGTTGATTTTCTAAGGGTAGTTATAACCAAAATTTCACTAAGAATGAGCCATCAAGTTACCAAAACTTTGCTTTCTTCAACATAAGTTATCAACTCCTCCATAAAACCCATTTAAATAAGAATTCTTAGGCTGGGGATATAGCTCAGTGATACAATGAACACAAGACCCTGGGTTTGGTCTCCAACACCAAACAAACAAATAGCTTAATAATATTTTACCACTCAGGGCTGGGGGTATGGCTCAAGTAGTAGTGCGCCTAGCATGCGTGAGGCACTGGGTTTGATCCTCGGTACCACATAAAAATAAAATAAAGATATTATGTCCACCTAAAGCTAAAAAATAAATGTTAAAAAAAAGTAATAAAAATAATAATTTTTTACCACTCTTTGAGACATATAAACATAAGGCGCTTTCAAAGAGGATAGTCTATACAAGATGAACATGTCCATTTCCAGCATAAAAGGAGAATTATAGGATTATAATATTTGAGCACTCCCCCAAAATGGACCTTATAATATGGCTTTAATATTTTGCTTTCAGGTTGGGGCTGTAGCTCAGTGGTAGAGTGCCTGCCTTGCACGTGTGAGGTACTGGGTTTAATCCTCAGCACCACATAAAAAGAAATAAAGATATTGTGTCCATCTACAACTAAAAAATATTTAAAAAAAAAATATCTTGCTTTGTGTTTCAAATTCAAAAAACACCACCAAACCTTACATAGAGGATTAGAGTATCATACCATTTTATCATACCAAAGTTCATTGGTAGGAATTATCAAGAATTATCGCATTAAAAAATGACAAAATCATAGAATTTGCAGGGAAATGGATGGCATTAGAGCAGATTATGCTAAGTGAAGCTAGCCAATCCCTAAAAAACAAATGCCAAATGTCTTCTTTGATATAAGGAGAGTAACTAAGAACAGAGTAGGGACGAAGAGCATGAGAAGAAGATTAACATTGAACAGGGATGAGAGGTGGGAGGGAAAGGGAGAGAGAAGGGAAATTGCATGGAAATGGAAGGAGACCCTCAGGGTTATACAAAATTACATACAAGAGGAAGTGAGGGGAAAGGGAAAAATAATACAAGGGGGAGAAATGAATGACAGTAGAGGGGGTAGAGAGAGAAGAGGGGAGGGGAGGGGAGGGGAGGGGGGATAGTAGAGGATAGGAAAGGCAGCAGAATACAACAGACACTAGTATGGCAACATGTAAATCAATGGATGTGTAACTGATGTGATTCTGCAATCTGTATACGGGGTAAAAATGGGAGTTCATAACCCACTTGAATCAAAGTGTGAAATATGATATATCAAGAACTATGTAATGTTTTGAACAACCAACAATAAAAAATTAAAAAAATAAAAAAAGAATTATCTATAATTACAGGAACCACACAACCATTATGAATTTTACCTCTAAAATCTTTTCTGGTAGAGGTACATTGTGAATATCCATCTCAGATGCACTTACTATAGCTCTTGTTTTTAAGAGATAGCTAGATAGAAAATAGAGAGAGAAAATATTAGTACCATACCACAGTTAAGATTATCAATGAACCATACTTGCCTTCTGAAACACAATCTGTCAAGCAAAGCCTGCCTTCTTACTAAATTCCATTTCAAGATTTGTGATGTATTCTGTTGGAAAAACAATTTCTCAACAAACAAATCAGAGAGACTCTGTCATCCTACCTTTTCCCAGGGACAAATTATCCCAGTACAAACTGAAAACAAAAAACAGGATCAGGGGTTGGGGTTGTAGCTCAGCAGCAGAGTGCTCACATAACACATGCGAGCCTTTGGGTTCGATCCTCAGCACCATATAAAAATAAATTAATTAAATAAAGATATTAAAAAAAAAACTGGATCATATGAAAATCATGATGCACACAAGTAGATCCTATAGCATACATATTTCAAAGGAAAAGTAATCGAATTGTAGCAAATAGTGTTGGTTGCTTAGCCAGTAGCCATTCCTTTTTTCTTTTCTTTCTTTTTTTTTTTTTTTAGTTGTAGATGGACACAATATCTTTGTTTTATTTATTTTTTTAATGTGGTGCTGAGGATCGAACCCAGTGCCTCATGCGTGCGAGGCAAGTGCTCAACCACTGAGTACAACCCCAGCCCCTCACTTTTTTCTTATTAACAACCCAGATTTTCTCATATGTTCAGCCTAGGAGTTGAATCAAAAGTGTTCTAAGCTAACTGTGACAAATCTGTTGACACATTTGCTTTCCCAATAAGATGATCATATAGCTTAGTTCTAGCTAATGAGAATAAGAAAATTTCTGCCCATAAAATAAGTTCCTTTGTGTTTCCTTATGCCCCAAACACTCTTCCTTCCTGTTGAAGATGCTACCATCAATATATATTCATGCTGTACTCAAGAGGAAAAAGCCAAGAGAAGCACAGAAATGCTGACCCAGATCCCTAATCATGGTTGAGCCATCAGAAGGCTCCTGGGGTAGCCAATAGCCTCACCTTTTTTTTTTTTTTTTCCTATTTGGTACTGGAGATTGAACTCAGGGGCACTCAACCACTAAGCCACATTCCCTAGCCCTATTTTGTATTTTATTTAGATACAGGATTTCACAGTTGCTTAGCACCTCACTTTTATTGAGGCTGGCTTTGAACTTGTGAGCCTCCTGTCTCAGCCTCCCAAGCTGCTGGAATTGCAGACATGCACCACCACACCTGGCCCTCACCTTTCTTTTTAAAACCACTGTTAAGTCAGAATTTTTGATACTAGCAACCAAATTCATTTGGATGGGATACACAGACATAGATTCATTATCTTCAAAGATTCCTGCTAACCATACTTTCCTAATTTCTATTTAGTCAACTCTTCATCTTAAAGACTAAATACTCAAAAATCCCATAAGACTTAATTTATACTAAAAACTTTGTTACTAAAAGCTTATTTCTCTAGCAAAAACTGAAATTATCGCTCTTCTGGAACATCTACTTACGTCTGTTTCTAAAAATGATTTACAGTTACTTACAGCACATATTGAGATACTTTTTTTTCCTCATTAAACTTAATTTTAGGACTGAGGTTGAGCTCAGTGTAGAGTTCTTGATTAGTATGTGTGAGGCACTGGGTTCAATTCTTAGCACCACATAAAAATAAATAAATAAATAGATGAACTCTATATAGTGCAGAGTGATGGGAAGGCAAGGGAGGGGGCATGGGGTTAGAAATGATAGTGGAATGTGATGAACATTATTATCCAAAGTACATGTATGAAGATATGAATTGGTGTGAATATACTTGATATACAACCAAAGATATGAAAAATTCTCTATATGTGTAATAAGAATTGTAATGTATTCTGCTGTTATATATAAATAAAAAATTAATTTAAAATAAGTAAATAAAGGGCTGGGGATGTGGCTCAAGCGGTAGCGCACTCGCCTGGCATGCATGCGGCCTGGGTTGGATCCTCAGCACCACATACAAACAAAGATGTTGTGTCCGCCAAAAACTAAAAAATAAATATTAAAAAATTCTCTCTCTCTCTCTTTAAAAAATAAAATAAAATAAGTAAATAAATAAAATAAAGGTACATGTCCATCTAAAACAAAAAACAAAAACAAAACACTTAATTTTGCCAGGTGCACTGGTGCATGCCAATAACCCGGTGGTTGGGGAGGCTGAGACAGGAGGATTTCGAGTTCAAAGCCAGCCTCAGCAAAAGGGAGGTGCTAAGCAACTAAGTGAAACCCTGTCTCTAAATAAAATACAAAATAACACTGGGGATGTGGCTCAGTGGTCAAGTGGCCCTGAGTTCAATCTCTGGTATCCAAAACAACAACAATAAAAAAACTTAATTTTAAATAGATTGTTTAAAAAATGAGGAATTCATAGTAAAATATAATTCCATCTCAAGTATACATCCTGTTAGAAATCTGCAATGAAGAACAAATGGTATATACCTAATGCACGTGAAACAGTTTCATAGTAACAAGTGAGTTTTACCTATAAATTTTATTGTTTTATCAAACAAAATGATTTAGAAACACCAACCTGAAAATAAGCTCAGTGGGGGCTGGGGATGTGGCTCAAGCGGTGGCGCGCTCGCCTGGCATGCGTGCGGCCCGGGTTCGATCCTCATCACCACATACAAACAAAGATGTTGTGCCCGCCGATAACTAAAAAATAAATATTAAAATTCTCTCTCTCTCTTAAAAAAAAAAAAAAGCTCAGTGGCACCAGCCATTCAGGAGGCTGAAGCAGGAGGATTCCAGGTTTCACACAAGGATTGGCAAGATAACAAGACCCTGTCTCGTGAATAAAAAATAAAACGGGCTGGAGATGTACCTCAGTGGTAGAGCACTTGCCTATCATGTACAAGGCCCTGGATTCAAACGCCAATACCATGGAAACAAAATAAAACAATACATATCTAAGCACATTAAATGGAAATGAAAAAAACAGAAGCATTTATGTTTTATGAAGGGAAAATGAGTTTTGAATTCATGGATTCACACCTCAGCTCCTCCACCTCTCTGAGTCCTAGTTTTCTTATAATAAGAACTCAATTAGGTAAGTATAATGCCTGGCAGAAACCAGGCTATCAGTAGTTGTTGTTGCTTAGTGGTTAAGAAAAGACTTTGATGTATATTTCAGTTTCTTGTAATAAACAAAAAAGCTAAATTAAAAGGTTCAATTTACTAAGATAAAGAAATACCTAATGTAATTTATGAGAAATAACAGCAAATAGGTACTTTTTCAAGTCCTAGGAGACCCTGTGATCGCTACTTTTACTTTTCTTCGTGCATCTGTTTCATTGTTCTTTTTCAGCAGATTTCTCTGCATCTACATGTATAATGTTGAAAAACCTATCACAACTTAAGAGCTTTCGCTTTTCAACTTCAGCACCATCTACAAGTGACAAGTGCCCATATTTCAAATTCCTAGAGTAGAAAATATGGTTTATTTGGGTCAGGTAAAAAATCCTATACATGTGAGTGGTGTCTTGCATGAGACAAATATGATAACAAGGTCCCACCCTATGGGAGGGAGATGGGCAAGGGCACAAACCCAAAAGGTATCTATGGCAAAAGCTTGCCTTCCTGAATTTTGTTTATTGAAAGAATAGCTTCTGAATTATTCTATGGTACCACTATGAAGACATGGTATGATTAGAAGACATCTAAAATCATCTTAATGTTATAAGATTATATTTTTGTTCTACTACTATTTTTTTTTTTATAAGAGTGCTTGGCTTTAGCATCTTCTTGAGTACAAATACTTTGTCTTTTCCAAAAGATCTTTTAAAATTTATTTGAAGGCAACCCCTATTGGGTTTTCTCTTCCCTGCTTAATAAATTCACTTGAATATATTTTACTGTTTTATGCTCAAAAATAAATAAATACATATTTTTTTAATCTTTATTTTTTGATAAACAATATCTATATCTACTTACCACACCATTTTATCACTGGAAAGGCAGAAGTGACCTCTCAAGGCAGCCAAAGCAGCATGGGTGGAATATAGATGGAAACCAATGGGAATTTCACAGGAACCACAGAATAAAAGGTTGTAAGTGCTAGGAGGGAAAACACAAAATAGGTAAGAAAGAAAATCACAGAACAAATCAAAATAAATAAGTCTCTGGAAGCATTTCTATCACTTAAGACACAAGAGAAATTTATGTTATAATAGGAATGAGACTGAAACAATGTCACATCCAAGAAAGGGTAACTCAGGTTTTAATATAATTATACTCTAAATTACAGAAACCTTCATGGATTCGTCCATTAAAGCAATTAAGGATATATAACTCTGAGATAGGTAATTTATCGAGGGGGGGGCGAGGAAGCTAACTAATGAGATTAACACTGAAACATTCAATTTATTTTTGTATTTTAAATTCTTTTTTTTTTTTTGCAGGTTGTATTTCCCTTGCACATATCTCTATCACTGAACTATACCTCCAGCACCATAAAAGTTGATCAATTGTCTGATTTTTTTTCCACATATTTTAATGAGTGCATTATAATTGTACATATTAATGAGTTCTCCGATTTGTTTTAAAACACTCCATAGATTGGGCCCGGTGGTATACGCTTGTAATCCCAGCCACTAGGAAGACTGAGAAAGAAGATCATAAGTTGGATGCCAGGTTCAGCAACTTAGTAAAACCCTGTCTCAAGATAAAAATAAATAAATAAAAAGTACTAAGGATTTAGCTTAACGGTAAAGTACCTCTGTGTTCAATCTCTAGTATCAAATAAATAAATAAATACTCCAAGATAAATAAAAAATGAAGAATACAGATAAAATAAAATTCTCTCTCTCTCTCTCTCTATTGTATGTGTGTGTGTGTGTGTGTGTGGTACTGGAGATTGAACCCATGGCTTTGTGCATGCAAGGCAAGCACTCCACCAACTGAGCTATATTCCCCAGCCCAAATTGTCAAAATATTGGTAAATGTTGAAACTGGGTAATGGGTACATGGGAATTATTTGAAGTATTTGAAGTATTTTAAAATTTCTCCATAATAAGGAACCCAACTACTACGTATAACTATAAAGCTCTAATTTTTTAAAAAGATTAAAGAGAAAATGCTCATTTACTCGCTCGCCTGCCATGCGCGGGGCGCTGGGTTCGATCCTCAACACCACATAAAATAAAGATGTTGTGTCCACCAAAAGCTGAAAAAATAAATATTAAAAATTCTCTCTCTCTCTCTCTTAAAAAAAAAAAAAAAGAGTCAATCTACAAACACTACTGAATGCCTATTTTAGCTTATTTTAAAAAGTAGTTTACAGGCTAGGTAGAGCACTTGCCTATATGTATGAGGCACCAGTATGATACTCAGCACCATATAAAAAAATTAATTAATTAATTAATTAAGGATATTGTGTCCATCTACAACTAAAAACAAAAAAAAGGGTAGTTTAGTAATATACTTTCCTGGGAATTAGGTTATATCTTTTAAAAACAAAAAGTGTTATTATCTTATAAAGATTCTTACAAAAATATTTATGAATGGAATGATATAATTTCAGATATGTACTTAAAAACATTAAGGAGGGATAGGTATGATTATAGATAAAACATGATTGGCCATGATTTGCTATCTGTCCTCATTTAGTGACTGGTAATACATGGGTTCATTATACTGTTCACTTCTGTTTAAATTTGCAAAAACAATTTAAAAAGAAATATTTTACTTATAACCAATATAAGCAAAATTCCACAAAGTAAATATTACTGTTGAGCATAACAAAAATTCAGCATAACAATGCTATTTTTAAGTGCTAAGACTGTAATACAATAATGCTTACTGAAATTAGTTACATTAAATCTTCCACCAGTAACAGAATAATAAAATTTGGTAGAGAAGCAATCTTTGGAAGTCAGGTGCAGTGGTTCAGCCCTGTAATCCCAGGTGGAGTGGCCCACCCCTGTAATCCCAGCTAAATTCTAGGCCAGCCTGGACAACTTAGCTAGACCCTGTTCCAAAACAAAAAATAAAAAGGGCTGGGGATGTAGCTCAGTGGTAGAGTCTGGGTTCAACCCCTAGTACTTTAAAAAATAAAAAGAATGAATTGTCTTTCTGTCAAAGGCCAATATTCAAATTTTTGGAGCCTAATTTTAATAATAAATTCACTGAGTACTTGATTGTCACTTGTAAGTCATACAGCATTCAAGTACTTAATAATCACCTTGTTTTTTTTTTTATCTCTCCCAATTTCTGAAATCACTGAATCCTGCCATGATTTATTACAAATTCCATGTTAAATACAAACTTGAAGTGTTGGTAACCTAAAGGATTGTAGTTCGTAAATTATTTTCACTATAAACCAAAATTTTCCACTATAAAACACACCTTTTGGGGTGGGGTTGTGGCTCAGTGGTAGAGTACCCGTCTAGCATACGGTTAGATTCTCAACACCACATAAATGTAAAATAAAGATATTGTGTCCACCTAACACTTAAGATTAAATATTTTTAAAAAGACATCTTTTTTTAGCCTCACTTCATTTGTATATAACACTAGGAATGTGGACCTCAGAAAGATTTTTAAAACTACACAAAAATCTTCTTCGTTTCATAATACAACAAGTTCTTACAGGTGTGTCAAACAAGTAAAAGAAACATTCTATCATTTGATTATACTGTATGAACATAATAAACTTTATAGGAACAAATGGTATACTCCTCGGACAGTATACAATTTGTTTCTAGAAAACCATCAGTAATTCTCGGTACACACCTGCATTTAAGCGAACCTTCAATGCCAACCAGGAAGGGTGCTTCCAAAATGACGTTATTTGTGACTCCTAAAACGAAAAACACGGGTCACAACTTGAACTTGTGAGGGCCTTGAAAAGGAAAACCTCCCTCCTGGCCAGACTCATAGTAGCGATGGGGGCGGACACCAAGAAAGGAGGCCTGGCTCGGTTTTAGAGCGTTTGACTAGCAAGCGCGAAGCCCTCTTTTCCAGCCCCAGCGACTGGGACGGGAAAAAAATTTAAAACCGGGGGGATAAAAAACAAAACCACGAAAACCACCCCCACCCTCCGTAAACCACCCCCACCCTCCGTCCCAAGGGGCAAATTTCTTTCTAAATCTACATCCTGTTTCCTTTCCAGCGAGTTTTCTGCTAGCCCGTCCCAGACTTCTCCAGAAGCCGCCCTCCAACTTACTGGAGAAGACCACGGCCCCAAGGGAACGCGACAGGTCCCAGGCGAGGTGCACTGAATCCGCCAGCACAGAGTGGCATTGCGCGCACTGGAACACCGCGCATCTCTCGGGCTGCAGCCACGACGGCAGCAGCGGGCTGATTGGCTGTTCTTTCGCCCCACATTTCGTCGGACCGAGCGGCGAGGACCCCTCCACCACCTGTGTGTCCCACTCCATGGAGGTGGTAAAAGAGGATTCGTCGATCATCTCCTTAGCGCCGTCACAAAAATCACCTCGGGACACTTCTGCACAACGAGACCGATGCCGCCGCGGCCGAGCCGCCATCTTCCTGCTGCGGTTTCCTCTTTCAATCTCGCACCAAACTCTGCTCCAAGCGTCGCCCCCGCGTCCTCAGTAGACCCTGTGAGCGGTGCGCTCCACAGCTCACCTGTGGCTTGGACGAGCCCCTAGGGCCTTCCGCCTTCGCCGTATTGGAGAGGTGAAGGGTGGAGCGTGCGCCAGTGGAAAATCAGTTTTTCTATTGGTCAGCGTAAGAAACCCCGCCTTCGAGGCATTTTCAACCAATGGAAGTGCAGCGTTCTTCGTTTAAACGAACTATAAAGGTCTACTGGGCCAACGCCTAGAGTGGCGCCAGAGTTTTGAACGGTGTAGTTTACGTTAGCTGACTGACCCTCTGCGCTTCTCCAGTTGGATTGTAGAACGCGATGACCGTCCCTTCTGCGGAGGAGCTGGACTCCTTCAAGTACAGTGACCTGCAGAACTTAGCCAAGCGTCTGGGCCTCCGGGCTAACCTGAGGGTACGGGGCTTGCGGTGCCGGCGGTTGGGCGGGCGGGTAGGAATTAGAGCCTGATAGAGAGAAGGCGCAAAAGGGTCCAAACTCGTGCCCCCGGGATGAGGCCCAGTCCTTTCCCTGGAGCATGAGATTTGGTTCCCGGTGGTTAAAACTCTGCAAAATGGAAAAGGAGCAATAGTTGTCACTTATTATTCGAAGCTGCTTTTTTTGAGGACTCACGTGGGCCTTTGCTCCAAAGGGCTGGTTTGGATTGGTTCGGTTTTATTTAAAGTACTCTGATATTTCCCAGGTATTATGAAACAGTCCCAGAAAGTGCAAGGTTGTCTTAATGCCAGTTGAAGAAATATTAGCTCTGCTTCTGTAAAACTCTACAGTAGTACCCATAATCTTTTGATAATTTATTGGAGGACCTGACCGAAAGAATGACTTTTAGAGGACCACTCTCGTGAGTAATTATTTATTTTGGCACTGGGGAGCTTAATTACTGAGCTACGTCCCCATTCCTTTTTATGGTTTTTTTTTTTTTTTTGAGACAGGGTTTCACTAAGTTGCTGAGGGTCTCGCTAAATTCCTGAGGCTGGCCTCGAATTTGTAATCCTCCTGCCTCAGTCTTCCAAACAGCTGTGATTACAGGCATGCGATACCACGCCCTCTTTTGGATAAAATTTTATCGTTAGTCCCTGATCTTATATGCTCTTTCTTTAATTGATCACTATTGTCAGTGGTGTTCTCTTCAAAACCGATAAAGTTTTTGATTCTGAGTCTGCAAGGCTTGGGGAAAAAATATGGGGATTCAGTTTGGGACTGGAATTTTATAATTTGAGATTTCCCATATAATGCTAATACTCCAGAGATTTGTTCTGTAAGATGCCAACAATTAAAATTGGATGAATGTCTAAACCAGTTATCACAAATGTTTTTAAATGGTTTAAATAGAATAATCATGGTCCAGGTATCTCTTTGGTATGTCTGAGTGTTGAAGAAGTGTCTCTGGGAAAGTTTCTGGGCTATAGCGTTTAATTGCTCTTCAATACTTGGTGAATAAAGCCTTAATTCCTTAACTTAAATCCAGTAGGCTTTTTGCTATCCCTCTGGAATCATTTGTATCCAAGGCTGTATCCCTAAACACTTGGCACCCTTGCCCATCTGTGTAATTTCTCATTTTGACCCTTTGACCTCATATTTCATTTTCTCCTTCATCTGCATAAATACTTCTCAGTTGCCTTTCACAGTTTAATGGAAATATTATCCTGATGTGGCTCCTGGTCCCCTATTCTTCATTTCCTTGGCTACAAGTTCCCTACTCCAGCAATCATGGGAATACTTTTAAAGCAGTTTATTTTCAAGTGTTGTTTTTGAAGATTTGCTGGGCTACGTCTTGCAATCTGGTTATTTGTGCATTGTATTTTTTTTATAAATTGCTTGAACAGTGGTTTCATCTATCCACCTTGGAAGTCTTTATAGCACTAAGTGCAGTACATTTTATGTAGGAGATGCTGGATAATTATTCAAAACTTCTTTACAACTGCTTCTTGGCAGTACTAGAATAATACACTGGAAGATAGTTTGGTTGGAAAGAATTTTGAGGAGGCTTTTCACCTGAGTTTAGAGCTCTGGCTAACATTTAAGGCCTCATTAATCATTGAATATCTAAAGAGCTAGGTTTTTTTCTGAAAGTTTTACCATCATTGTCTCTTGAGGCACCTGATCTAGAATAGCCAATTAATTGCTGTTTTTTTAGAAGTAGGGTTATTTCTTGTTATCATAGATCCCATTGCTTGCCTAGCACACAATATCTGGCACATTGTAGTTATTGATAAATATTTATTAGAATGTCCTATTTCCTGGACAAATCTGATCATTCAAAGCTTTATTATAATCAACTGTAAGAAGAAATTGAGACCCTTAAGGAAAACTGAATTTGGGCTAGGTATTAAATTATATAACCATATTTATTTTGATCAATATGATAATGGTTCAATGGTTATGTTTCTTTTTAAAAAACAAAACAAAAACCTATCTCTTAGAATACATACCAAGTGAAGTGTTTTTCTTTCTTTCTTTTTTGGTACCAGGGATTGAACCCAGGGGCGATTAACCACTAAATTGCTGGGGCTGGCTTTGAACTTGAATTTATGATCCTCTTGCCCCAGCCTTCAGAGCCAGTAGGATTGCAGGCCTGCACCAACAGGTCCAGCCCAAGTATTTCCATGTGAAATGTTATGAAGCCTGTAAAATGCTCCCGAAAAAAATAGAGGGGGAACTAGGTGAAATAATAACAACAAAATGTTGATAATTTTGGAAACTAGTAACAGATACATGGGGGTTCATTATACTATTCTTTTTACCATGTTTGAAATATTGCCCAAGAGCTCATTGAATCAATTGCCTTTTAAAATTACAAATAGCAGAAAAAGATTAATAAATTGCTTTAGAAATAATTAAGATTTGATTAAACTTGCCAGGCATGATGATGCACGTCTGTAATCCCAGCGACTCAGGGGTCTGAGGCAGGAGGATTTCAAGTTCAAAGCTAGTCTCAGCAATTTAGTGAGACCCTGTCTCAAAAAAAGATTAAGAGAAAAAAAAGGATGTGGATGTGGCTCAATGGTAAAGTGCCCCTGGGTTCAATCTCTGATGCCCCCCTCCAAAAAATATTATTTAAATAAATTCTACCAGTATAATGTCATTAAAAATAAATTTAGAAAATATTGGCTCGCTCTTTTGAGATGCTTTGCTTAATGGTAAAGCAAAAGAAAGGAGTCGGTTACTAATATTTGTGGCCATGGTCCTTTTCTCACTATGCTCTCTCTTCCCTCTTGTAAAGTTAAATTATGAAGAAGAGCACTATTTTCTATTTCTTTAGACCTCTCTACTCACCTGGCAAAACCCAAGCCTAATTAAACTCAGCTGTTTAATCTGCCTCTTTAATCTTAATCTGCCTCTACTTATGCAGCTGACCTTGACTAGAGAAAAAACTTTGTTGATTGAACTTTATTTATTTTTAATGTGGTGCTGAGGATCGAACCCAGGGCCTCACACAAGCTAGACGAGCACTCTACCGCTGAGCCACAACCCCAGCCCCCACTCTAAACTTTATTTTTTTTTTATTATAAATCTTTCTCCTTTTTTTTTTTTTTTTTTTTGGTACTGGGGATTGAACCCAGGGGTGCTTAACCATTGAGCCACATCCCCAACCCTTTTTATATTTTATTTAGAGACAGGGTCTTACAGAGTTGCTTAAGGCCTTGCTAAATTGCTGAGGCTGGCTTTGAACTCAGTCCTCCTATGTGATTCCTATGTGAATCTAAAAATTGGCATTTGATCCAACCGTACATTCTTTTTTTTTTTTTTTTCTTTTAAATAGTTTTTTGTTTTTGTAGTTGTAGATGGACAGGAAAAAGAGAGGGGAACTAGGTGCCTTTATTTTATTTTTATGCAGTGCTAAGGATCAAACCCAGTGTCTCACAGGTACTAGGCAAACTCTCTGCCACTGAGCTACAGTCTCAGCCCCTCCTGTACATTCTTAGTACTCATTAACTTTCACTTTTTTTTTTTTTTCCCCTGCAGTACTGGAAAACAGTCTCACTTTTGAGGACAATTATTTCCTATTTTCCCTCCTCAAATTGATTCCCTTTCTTCCCTTGGTGATTTTTCCTCTTAGGTCCTGGGGAAATGGATGCAGTCAGCAAAGAATTACCCATCTTTGCAGCACCAAACCCTCCAGTCAGCCTGCACCTTTACACACTGCCTATGCTCCCCTCCTTCCCATTCTAGTAAAAGACTAATACCTGTGGGCAATCTTTCTACTTAAGCTTTCAGGGGCCCTCTGGCCTCCTCTAGGACTATACTCCTATAATTAGTACTCCCTCCTGCTTTGCTTTTTCCAATTCTGCTGGCTCGATACCATACTACATAAGATCTTTCTTAGTATCACCCATCAATTTTTTTCACCCATCTTTAAAAAAAAGAAAAATCCTTCCTTAACCCCAACTCCTTCTCTCATCTACTGCCCCATTTTTCTGTTCTGTTCTACTGAAATTTACCATAGTAGAGCCACCATCTACAAAACTTGGTCCATTTCTGGTCTCAACCTGCCTACCAATAGATTTTGGCATGGTAGAACACTCCCCTCTGCTCAAGCCAATTTTTTTTCCTAGACTGGTTTTTATAATTTTCTCCTTTATTTTTTATAGTCTCCTGGGCTGTTTTTTACTCTGTCAGATACCTAAATATAGAGTGCCCCAGGATTCTCTCTCTTTTGGTGGTCTTCTCCCACAATTTTAAATTCATCTAGAAACAAATGCATCTAAATTTCCTGGAGGATTTCTCCCCTGAGTTGTGAATTCACATATGTAAGTGCATCTTCCACAGCACAATCAGTTCCCAAAACTGATGACCTTCCCATCTCAGGCACACTTGGACCACCCTTGATTCCTCCCTTCATTGCACACACCCACCCATCCTTCTCAGCACTCTCAACTACACCTAAAATCTGACCTTTGTGTACAGTCCTGGGTCACAGCACTCTTGTCTGACAACCAGGGTCTCATTCTTCCTATTAGGTTCTGCCTCTACTCTCACTTCTTTGTAGTCAGAGTGGTATTTGAAACTGAACATGTTATTTTTTCTGCTTAGTGATTTTTCAGTTCTCTCACATCTAACATAAAATCCAAAATCTTCCAAATGTAATGAAAGAAATTTGGTTTCATCCTGATTTTAAGGGATTTTTTTTTTTTAAGAAAACAACTAAAATTGTCAATAAGGAAATTCATTATGGACTATATATTAGATGACATTAAGAAAATATTCTCTCTGGTCACCTCTTTGATTTCCCTTCCCTCTAACTCACCCCAGTGTTCAACTTAGAATGCTTTATTTGCTGCGTCTTCATTCACATCTCAGCTCACTATCACCTCAGAGAGGACTTTGCTGACCTTCCTAACTCAGGCTGTACCACCACGCTATCCCAGTTACCAAGTATATTGATTTTGCCTTATAGCACGTGATAACCTATCATTTATTTGTAGCTTACTTGGTTAACAGGCCATTTGCATGCTAGTTTACTGCTGTAATCTCCTGGATGTCAAGAGACCTTATCTGTTTTGTTCACCAGTCTCTCTAGTGCATAGAACAGCATCCATTACAATAATGCTATTGAAGGAAAGCATGACTAAATGCTGAAAACTAACATCTCTACTTCCAGCACAGTTCTTGAGCATCACCTTATACCATTTAACCTAGATATCCTCACTTGACTCTGCTTTATGTAGCTAACTTCATCAATGTTGCATGTTTGGTGAGGTTTTCATGGTATGTTAAGAAAGGTTAGAATCACAGAAGCAAAAATACCTTAACTCTGCCAATCACCCCCTTCCCAGAGAAAATTAAGATACTACTTTATGGGCTGGGGAGGTAGCTCAAGCAGTAGCGCGCTCGCCTGGCATGTGTGCGGCCCGGGTTCGATCCCCAGCACCACATACAAGATGTTGTGTCTGCCGAAAACTGAAAAATAAACATTAAAATTCTCTCTCTCTCTCTCTCTCTCTCTCTCCTCTTAAAAAAATTAAATAAAATAAAATTTAAAAAAAGATACTACTTTATTACTTGTTGGAATGGTGTCTGCTGCTGTCTCAAAGCCCAGTATTCTGGTATTTGGGTGGGGGGTTGGAGGATGTAGCTTATACCCTAAGCAAAAACTTTCCTGCACACTAAAGCCCAAACCAAATTTCAGGATCTCTGTCTTTTTTTTTTTTAAACATGGGTGATTTTAAATGGTGTGAAAAGAATGGGAAGCCAGATATGGGTGTACACAGCTGTAATTTCAGTTATTTGGAAAGCTTTGTCAGAGGATTGCAAATTAATATCAACCTGGGCAATTTAATGAGACCCTGTTTCAAAATAAAAAAGGAGTCAGGATGTACACTTGCCTAGCATACATGAGGCCCTGGGTTCAGTACCCAGTACTGCAAAAACAAAAATAGGCAGTGTGGCTGAGGTCTATAATCTCAGCTACTTGGGAGACTGAGGCAGGAGAATGGCAAATTCAAGGCCAGCCTGGGCAACTTAGCTAGACCCTATCTCAAAAAATAAAAAGGGATGGAGGTGTAGCTCATTGGTAAAGCACCTCTGGGTTCACTCCCCAGTACTTCTGGAAAGGAAAAAAGAGCCCAGCCCAGTGTCTGGATCCACCTTAAAAAGGAAATCTCTAGCCTTCAACTGCTTAGGTTATATGGAAGAGGTTGGGGGTGGGGAAGAATCCAGTCAATACACTTGATCTTTCAAAGCCCGGAATATCCACTCAGATTAGTATTCTTCTTTCAGAAAAGACAAGGGGGCTGGAATTGTAGCTCAGTGGTGCTTGCCTAGTACGAGTGGGGCACAGGGTTCAATCCTCAGCACCATATAAAAATAAATGAATGAAATAAAGGCATTGTGAATCTGTGGCCTAGAATATTTGAAAAAAAAAAAAAAAAGAAAATAACAAGGGACGGGCTGGGGTTGTAGCTCAGTTGTAGGGTGCTTACCTAGCACTGTGAGGCACTGGGTTCAATCCTCAGCACTATGTAAAAATAAAGATGTTGTGTCCACCTACAACTAAAAAATATATATATTTTTAGTTGTAGGTGGACACAACATCTCAACTGCTTAGGTTATATGGAAGAGGTTGGGGTGGGGAAGAATATATATGTAATTTATTTATTTATTTTTTTTAAGGGGCTGGGGTAGTTCGCCCAGCATGTTTGGGGCCCTGGGTTTGATCCTCAGCACCACAAAAAAAAAAACAATAAATAAGATATTGTGTCCAACTACAACTAAAAAATAAATTTTAAAAAGGAAATATTTCCTAGAGTGAAGAGAAGCTAGGGGTTTCCTCTCCCCTAGATAACTATGCCTATCCTCTTCTCCAAGACTGGCATCTTTTGCATTTTCCATTTTAGGGACCCCCACCTGGGCACAATAAAATTTGCCTATTCTTTGACTCATGTTTGCACTGATTTTACTTCTTCTTCTTTTTTTTTTTTTTTTAGTTGGACACAATACCTTTATTTTATTTATTTTTATGTGGTGCTGAGGATCCAACCCAGCGCTCTACTGTTGAGCCCCAGCCCCAGCCCTGATTTTACTTCTTAAGTGTTTTGCAGGGCTAGGATTGTGGCTCAGTGCTAGAGTGCTCGCCTAGCCTGTGTGAGCACTGGGTTCGATCCTCAGCACCACATACACATACACATACAATAAAGATATTGTGTCCAACTAAAACTAAAAAATAAATATATTTTAAAAAAGTGTTTTGCATGTATCCCTACTGCCATTTAGCCCTGCTGTTCAGGCCACAGTCACCTGTTTTCCTAAAATAGTCTCCTAGCTGTGTTTTCCTGTCTTCAGTCTTATCTCCTTCAAGTGAATCCTGCACATTTTGTGGCCAAAGTGATCATTCTGAATGATGCAAAATTGGTCACTCAGTGTTACCGGCACTCCAGGCCAGAGCCTGATGTGGTTGCAAAGGACTGGATTCAGTCATCTGCACACATGAGAAAACAACATAAAAAGGAAAAATGAATTTAATTGTAATTTGACCAAAACTGGGAAGGTAGCTTTCTTCGCCTGCCATACAGTAGCAGTTTTGATTCATAGAAATGAAAGCCAGAAAATGTACATATGTAGATTTAGCTAAGTTGTACTAGTCACACAATTCCAGTTTCCAATCCTTGCTTGTGTCTTCCCAGACTTTGGGGCCAGTTTCTCAGTTTCCATTCTCAGCATGAGGATTTAAAAAGTAACTTTTGCCAGAAAAGGGAAGTAAAAAACTCATTTAGGGGCTTTTAATTTTAAAGGGACTCTGATTCAACATTGCCTTGCTTCTAGCACTTCAGAGACTGCCCTTTGCCTCAAGGGTAAAGTTCATACTCTTCTTGTTTTTGTTTTTGTTTGTGCTGAAGATAAATCCAAGGCCTTGCATGTGCTAGGCAAATGCTCTATTACTGACCTATATCCCAACCCCCTAAAGTTCACACGCTTAGGAGGCTTAAAAGGCAGGCCTAGAGAGATCAAGCCCTTTCCCAACTTTCTCTCCATCCTCACCAAGAGTATGCTCCACCCATGCTGAATTTAATTCTTGAAACTCCACCTTGTTGCCTTCCCGTGCTATTTCTCTATTAGTTTTTCTATATCTAGTTCTCTCTAGCCTCCTGATCTCAGCAGCCTGAACCAGCACATTTTGATCTTAAAACCAGTGTGTCCAGTTACCTGCTAAAGTCTTCCCTGACATTCCAGATTTTTATGGCTAAGCCCATTTTTGTTCTTTGGGGCATTTATCTCTCTATATTGCATTTGCAGTTTTCTTTGACACTAGGGTATGAAATCCTTGTGGGTAGGGGCCAATTTATCCAGGTCATAATTCTAGTCTTCTAGCCTAATCAGAGTATATTTAGTGAATATAAAAGGAAGAACAAAAATGTTCAGCACATCTTTCTTACTCATTTGACTTTTCGCCCTAATGATGAGGATTTTTTCTGCAGGCAGACAAGTTGTTAAAAGCCTTAAAAGCCCATCTTAAACATGAAGAAAGAAAAGAAAAGAAGAATCAGGTAAGTAATGTTTTTCACCACCACCTAACTAAATTATGTTTACTTACTGAGCAGTTAATAGTAATTAGTGATGATTTAAAACATGCTGTTTTTTTTTTTTAACTAGAGATCATTTTTGACAATTGTGCCTGTGACTATCTTTTCATAGTTATTTGTTAAAATGATAAAAGTGTCTTAGGCAGGCATATAAATTGTTAAATAAAGTGTCCCTATACAAACGCAAAAGTTAATTACTACTTGCCAAATATTATGAAAGTTAGCATGGGATAAGTAGGGAGGGAACTAAATTTAAAATCAGAAAGACCCAGCTTACATAGCAGTTCTCCTTTCTTGAAAAACTCAAATTCCTTTGTGTGCTGCTAAATTGAGTGTTGCAAAAAGCAAATTAATTAGGTGCTGTGAAAATGACTTATATAACATATAAAACACTGCTGATGGGAGAGTTGTCATGGCTGCTTCATTCCTATAATGAAGACTTGATAAGGCATGACACCTAAATAGATCAGTGGCCAGGATTCTCAACTTGAAATTGGAGGAAATTTAAAAAAGAAAAGTGAAATTGAAGAAAATGTTACAAGGCTTTAATTGGAGCCTTGGTCAACTACTGATAGACAAAAAATTAATTATATATTTAGAAATGAAGGTAAATATAAACATGAACTAAATATTGAACTTTCTCCTCTGTCTTTACAATCTCTGCAAGTCCATATTCCAATTTATAAACATTTGTAAACTTTCAGTATTCTAATTTCCTTTTTCCATGCATGTCCATGTTGTGCTGGGGATAGAGCCATATGCATGCTAAGCAAATACTCTACCACTGAGCTATAGCCCCAGCCATAAGAATTTATTTTGAATTCAGGTATAAGGGCTGGGGGTGTAGCCAAGTGATTCAACTTTTGACTATCATGGACAAGGCCCTGGGTTCCATTCCCAGCACTGCAAGAAAAAAAAAAAAAAAGGAACTTTAAAAAGTTGCTAGATCTGGTAGTATGGAGCTGTGACTCAGTGGTAGACCACTTGCCACAGGGTTCGATCCTCAGCATCACATAAAGATACATAAACAAAATTAAGGTATTGTATCCATCTACAACTAAAAATATATTAAAAAAAAAAAAAAAAAGTTTCTATATCCCTGAGCATGGTGGCACACACCTGTAATCCCAGTGGCTCAGGAGGCTAAGACAGGAGGATCCTGAGTTCAAAGCCAGCCTCAGCAAAAGTGAGGTGCTAAGCAACTCAGTGAGACCCTGTCTCTAAATGAAATATGAAATAGGGCTGGGGATGTGACTCAATGGTTAAGTACTTGATAGACCAAAAATTAAAATGATCTATTTCAAATTCAACATCTTGGGCCATTCCATTTTGAGCAAGGTAAAAGTCAAAATTCAGTTAGATATCAGATTCCTAAGTAATGAATCTGTGAATAAAGACCTTAGGTGGGTAAAAAGACTTGATATACAAGCCTTGGGTAAATCAGTTTATACTGTAAATGGAACATAGTAAATTAATGTTTCTCTTTTCAGGATGAAAGTCAAACTTCTGGATCCTCCAAGGATGAAACTGTGATACAGATTAACAGTCATGAACAAGCCAACAGGGAGCCAATTGGCAATATCACCAAAACGAGGAGGTGCAAGACAGTTCATGGGCACCCTGACTCTCAGGTGAATAGAAGTGTGCAGATTGAACAAAAGCCACCATGTTTGCCAAAATTGGCATTCTTAGCTTTCCTTTTAATTCCCTTATGAGGTCAGGTGGTTGGAAATTCACCATATACTGCAACAGCTGTTCAAAAACACAGACCTGTGTCGGGGCTGCTCATCATTGTACCCCAAACCCTAGCATTTAGGAAGAAATTACTAAGTATTAAATATAGGGCTGGGGCTGTGGCTGAAGCGGTAGCGCGCTTGCCTGGCATGCATGCGGCCCGGGTTCGATCCTCAGCACCACATGCAAACAAAGATGTTGTGTCTGCCAAAAACTAAAAAATAAATATTAAAAAAAAAAAAGTATTAAATGTAAATTAAGTATTTGTTGAATAAATATGAATATTCATTAAGTGACCACTTAAATGAGGTGTTGTAAATAAGAAGGAAAGAGAAACCAACATGGGAGTATGGTTTTAAAGTTCTCTTTCCTAGCTTGCCCTCCCACTGATCACGCTATACTTAATCTTTCAATAGTGTGATTATGTGGCTAGCTAGGGGCTTCCCTCTGTTTTAGTTACTTTTTTTTTTTTTTTTTTTTGGTACTGGAGATTGAACTTAGGGATACTATACCACTGAGCCTCAACCCAGCCCTTTTTATTTTGATATAGGATCTCCCTAAGTTGCTTAGGGCCTTGATAAAGTTCTGAGACTGACCTTGACCTTGGGATCATCTTGTCTCAGGCTCCCAAGTAGTTGGAATCACAAGCATGTACCACCACACCCAGCTATACTTTCATTCAAATGTAACTTTTACCATACACAGTCCTAATTTCTTATTTTCTGGCTTCACATAGTCCCTTGGTCAGTAGAGTACCTCGGTCTCTTACATTAGTTTATCATTTATAAGAGAACCATTCTTTCCAGTGGTCCCTAATTCCTATTCCCAAATTAACATTCTCATGACACTGGATAAGGCACAAAACCAAATCTACCACTCAGAAGTCTTATTCTTGGGGCTGTGGTTGTAGCTCAGTGGTAGAGTATTTGCCTAGCACGTGTGAGGCACTGGATTCAATTCTCAACACCACATAAAAATAAATGAACGATGGGCTGGGGTTGTAGCTCAGTGATAGTGTGTGCACCTTGCATGTGGAGGGCACGGGTTTGATCCTCAGCACCACATAAAAATAAAATAAAGGTATCCATCTACAACTAAAAAAAATTTTAAAAAATAAATGAATGAATAAGGCTGGGGATATATAGCTCAGTTGGGAAAGTGCTTGCCTTGCATGTATAAGGCCCGGGGTTCAATCCCCAGCACCATAAATAAATATTAAAAAAAAAAAAAAAAAGTAACTTTTTTTTTTTTAATTCTGCTTTACTCTTTTAACCAACCCCCTTCCCCTCATTATGTAACTATCTTTAGAAGACAGCAATTACTTTTTATTTAAATATGAAATTGTTTATTTCCTTTTAAAATTTGTAGCAGGATCATTCTGAGGTAAAAATGAGTGATGATACTGAATTCCAGAATCAAGAAAAGCAGAAAAACCAGGATCTTGGAACTACTGCAAAAGTTCCTTCTCTGCCAGACCAGAGCCAAGGAGATGATAATGTTGTTTCCTCAGGAAAAAGTGAGATGAATGGTATGACAAGTGACTTTTTTTTTTTTTTTTTAAAGAGAGAGAGAGAGAATTTTTTAATATTTATTTTTTAGTTTTCAGCGGACACAACATCTTTGTTTGTATGTGGTGCTAAGGATCGGACCCGGGCCGCACGCATGCCAGGCGAGCGTGCTACCACTTGAGCCACATCCCCAGCCCAGACAAGTGACTATTTTTTAAAAAGGAAATTGCTGGGGCTGGGGATGTTACTCAGTGGTAGAGTGCTCACCTAGCACATGCAAGATCCTGCGTTCGATCCTCAGCACTACATAAAAATAAAGTTATTGTGTCCAACTACAACTAAAAGTATTTAAAAAAAAAAAAAGGAAATTGCTAGTGGTAAGTGCATATTAATTTCCTAGGATTGCTGTAACAAACTGGGAGGCTTAGAACACAGAAATTTATTTCATAGTTCTGAGAGCTAGAAGTCCAAAATCAATGTATCGGTTATCAGCAGAGCCTTCTGAAACAATGGCTATCTGCCCTGTCTCTTCCTACCTTGTGGCGGCTTGTTGATGCTTGGTATTCCCTGGCCTTCTGCTGCATTTCTCTGGTCTCTGCCTTTATCAACACTTGGCATTCTCTCTTTCTGTCTCTTCTTTAAAAGACACCAATCATACTGGGTTATGATCCACCCACACATCTTCAACTTGATTACATTTGTAAAGACCCCATTTCTCTAGAGGTTATTTAGAAAGCGGTATTAGATACCAAGGGTTAGGGCTTTAACATATCTTTTTTGGGGGGTGTCTAAAGTTCAACCCATAGTACCATGTTATAGAACTTCTAAGTGTTCTGCAATTAAAGCAAAAGTTAGAACCAAATACAGATTTATCAGATCATCTTTACCTTTTTTTCCCCCCCGCCCTCTAACACTAAGAACCAATTCCAGGACCCCAGAATGGTAGGAAGCATTCTACCACTGAGCTATACCCCCAGCTCTAACTGATATAGAAACCAGAATAAGAGGGGTAGCTGGGAAGTTAATGTCTTTTTCATGACAGGAGAGCTCTCATTTAGTCTCATTACCTCCTCTAGCCAAGTACAGAGACCAATTCAAAGACCTGTTTTGCCTCCTCAACCAGCAGGGAGTTGTGAAGTTTACCTTCTAAGTGGCATAGCCTTTTTTACTCTGATAAATTAATATATTCCTAAGTCTAACTTCCTGAAAACCTTTTCCCTAAATTTTCTCAGGTAACAATTTGTTTTAGTAAAACTATAAAACTCAGTTCCTCCACCCCTAATAGCACTTTGTGCTCTCTGTCATTCGTCAGGAAAGCTGCCACTGGCCACAGAGCATCTCAGCATTAGGTTCACCTTGATAAACCTGCCTGGACCTGAGCCTTGCCAGAGAAGGGGTGTAGGGATTGAGAGAGATGATTTCCATTTCTTTTTTCACCAGCCATCTAAATCTGATCCTCAGCCTTCCTATTTTCCCCCAAATTTCAAATGTCTTACTAAACCTAGAAAATTGCAGGAAGAATGGTTTTGATTTAATGGATCTGAGATGAGCCTAGGAGTTTATTGGTTTGTTTTTGTTGTTGTTTTTTGATACCAGGGATTGAACCCAGGGGTCCTTAATCACTGAACCAAACTGAGCCCTTTTTATCCTTTATTTTGAGACAGGGTCTCAATAAATTGCTTAGGGTCTAAGTTGCTAAGGCTGGCTTTGAACCTGCGCTCCTCCTGCCTTGGCCTCCTGAGCCTCTGGGATTACAGGCATGTGCTACTGTGCCCAGCTGTTTTGTTTGTTTTACTTATTTATTTATTTTTTTGTTTGGTTGGGGGGTGGTTTACTAGGGATTGAACCCAGGTCCTTCATAATGCTAAGCATGCACTCTGCCACTGAGCAACACGTCCAGCCCAATTTTTAACAAGCCTCCCCAGATCATTTTGATGCATGTGCCTTATAGCCCATTTTTAAAATCATGATATAAAGCAAAATTTTAAGAAATGACAAGAGTTGGGGCTGGAATTATGGCTCAGTGGCAGAGCACTTGCCTCGCACATGTGAGGCACTGGGTTTGATCCTCATCACCATATTAAAAAAATAAAAAAGTAAAGGTATTGTGTCATCTACAAATTAAAAAATAATTTACAAAAAGAAAGAAATGACAGAGTTGGCAGTGAGAGTCTCAGGATCTGGTTTTGGTGGCCTGGAAAAAATGAGGAAGGGTGGGGCACAATGGAACACATCTACAATTTCACTACTTAGGAGGCTGAGACTGGAGGGTCATAATTTCCAGGCCAGCTTTTCTGAAGGTCCCTTTAAATCTTCATTGTCTAAATCCAAAGATACAGAACTAATGAAGGACTTTTTTTCCCCATTAATCACTGTTGACTTAGCAAGACCTTGTCTCAAAATATGAAAATAAGGGACCTAGGGATGTAGCTTAGTAGGTAGACTGCTTGCCTAGCATGCATGAGGGCCTGGGTTCAATAACCAGTCCCATAAATAAATAAATAAATAAATTAAAATGGGCTAGTGCTGTAGCTCAGTGGTAGAATACCCCTAGCTTCAATCCCCAGTTCTTGGGGGTCGGGGGAACAAAATGAAGATGGGCAGTAAGATAGGTTTCTCTGCTGAAACACAGTAGTTTGAAGGTTCTGGGGAGAAGAAATTGTTTTTACTTCTTATTTTGATATAATTTCATATTTAGAGAAAACTTGCAAGAATAGTACTAAGTTTCTATATTCACCCAAATGTTTAACATTTTACCACATTGGCCTTATCCTTCTCTGTGTCTGTATATATACACATATGTTGCATATGGCTTTTTTTCTGAATTGTTTGAGAAGTTGCATATATCTGCCCCTTTACTCCTAAATGTGTTTCTTAAACCATAAGAACTTTCTTGCACAAATGTACAAAGAACAAAAGAGTTCATTGAAATAGCTTCATATTCCACATTGTGAACTTTAAGAAACTACCACTTATTAAGTTCTGGTATAATATCAAAGAAAAATAGCCATAATTATCTGAACAGGCTCTTAAAATACTCTTACCTTTTTAACCATACATCTCTGTGAGGCAAGATATTTTCCATACATGCCTCAGACAGAATGGCATATCATAGCATAATGTATGCAGAAGCAGACAAGAAAATCATGGGGTTTTTTGCTTTTTTTTTTTTTTTTTTAAGGTACTAGGAATGGAACCAAAGGCCTCATGCATGCTAGGCAAGTGCTCTACCACTAAGCTACATCACTAGGCTCATACATACATTTTTTAGTAAGTTAAAAAATCTTGTGATTCAAATCAACAGAGATTAATGGGGAAAGAAAGTCCTTCATTAGTTCTGTATCTTTGGATTTAGACAATGAAGATTCAAAGGGACCTTCAGAAAGAAAGTCACTCTACACAGATGGGTTTTCCAAACTTGGAAACAATAAAAGAACTACAGTCACTACTCCAAGTAAGTTTATACACAATGAAACATAAGGTAATGAGTGGTTGGTCCACTTTAAACTAATATTGGAAAGGCAGTGGATGGTAGCAGCTAAAAGTTCAGATGCTAGAACCATGATTTATATTTTGCCACTTTTGCTTTCTAGCCTTGAAATCTTGGAGAACTTATTCTCAATAAACCAACTTATTGGTATAAAGTAGAAATAATTATACTATCTATTTCATCAAGTTTATATATATAGATTGAGAATATCACTTTTATTACTGATTACCTAGTACAGTGAATAGCATATAGCAGAGAATTGATAAATATCTGATGAATGAATAGTTCTTCAAGGTACTCGACACAATGTACACTGTATACTAACTTTCTAATAAATATGATGGACTCTTTTTAGACATGTAATTCTTTATCTTGTATTACTGGAACATTGCTTAGTACATAGAATGTGGACTTAGTGTCATGTATTTATAGTTGTTAGAATATTGCTCATCATATACTAGAAGTTCAACAAATATTTATATACATATTTAGAATAGCATAGGGCAGGGGTTAACATTCTACTGTCTGCCTGCCTTTTATCTCTTGAGCTAAGAATGTTTTTCCATATTTATAAAAAGAGTTTAAAAGAAGATGAGATAGAGATTGTACTGTATTTGGCCACAAAGCCAAAAATACTATCTGTCTCTTAACAGAAAAATTGTCAGTCCTTGACATAGAGCTTTCCAAGCATAATAAAATACATATTTGAGGGTCGGGAGTACAGTTTAGTGATACAATGTACACTTAATACTCGTAAGGCCCTGGGTTCAATCTCCAGCACCAAAGGAAGAAAACAAATATCAAACTTGTGATGACTAAATAAAGGTCATTTGATTAATTAGGGAAAAGACAAATCTGTTCTCTTCTTTAAACCAAGATGTCAGGAAAGTGAACAACGGGGAGATTGTGAATGTTTGATAGTTTATAAAATGAATAGGCTTTGCTGTGAGTTTCAAAAATTGAAGTGTTTTAAAATTAAAGATTTAGCAAAAATGATACTGAAGTTAAATGTCAGGGATGCAAGGAGAATAATTATTAACACCAAAAGCAGAAGGAAGGTGAATAAATGGAATTCTATTAATTTTCATATTTTGGGGGGGGGGTTCATTCTAGATTTTAAGAAGCTTCATGAGGCTCGTTTTAAGGAAATGGAGTCCATTGATGAATATATTAAGAGAAAAAAGAAACATTTTGAAGACCACAACTCCTTTCATGAACTGAAGGTATGCAGAAAAAACTTCACAGCTTTAATGGGATTAAGCTACTTGGTTTTATTTTAAAAGCATGTAATGCCACAGTTAATACATCCAGCTTTGTATTACTATGCCTGTGGAATAGATTTGTTTGGGTTTAATATATTTTTATCTTGTTATTTTTATTTTGTTTATTTTTTTGTGTGTGGGGATTGAACCCAGGGCCTTGCACATGCCAGGAAAGTGCTCTACCACTGAGCTATATCCCCAGCTTTTTTTATATTTTATTTGGAAACAGGGTCTCACTGAGTTGCCAAGGCTGACCTTGAACTTTCAGTCCTTCTGTCAGCCTCCCAGGTACCTGGGATTACAATTACATACCACCACACCCAGTTTAATATACTTTTATCTTAATATTGCTTTCTTCCACTGAGAATTTTCAAAACCCTCTAGAAGAAACATCCTCACTGTGAGGAAGTATTCTACAGTGGCAATGAGTTCTTCTATATTCATTCATAGGTTTTGCCTCACTTTCATTGAGGGTAGACTGCAGCTATCTTCTTTTGCTTCTCTCTCACCTAAAGGAAAATGGGGTGCTGCATAGTGGCTAACCTATGCTAGCAGCTCCTTCAAGGGTCTTTAGTCCAAGCCCTACTGGATTCAGTGAGCCCTTCAAGTAAGAGAAGGTGATGTAGTCAACCCTGAGATTGAGTTAGGAGAATAGTGAATTGAGAGTATCCTAGGAAGTTGATGTTACTGGTATCTGAGGTTAAGGAAGTGCTAGATAGGGGACTGAGAAACATTTATGATTTATATAAATAACAACCTGCCTATTTCTCAAAAGGAATTTAAGGCAGTTTGTGGTATTACACATATCAGAAAACCGTATAAAGTCAATTTAAAAGGGCTGAACATGTGGCTTCAGTAGTAGAGTATTTGCCTAGTGTGTGCAAGGCCTGGGTTCCACCACAACATTGCAAAAGGAGTGTGGTGGGGGAACAGAAAATGAGCACTATTAGCAAGAACAATGTCTACTGCTATCACTGCTGAGTTTTGAGTTTTCTGGCAACTAGGCCAAAAGAGACACACTGGATTATAAACTTCTTGGTGAAAAACTTAGTTAAAAAAATATATATATATTTATTTCAACAGTATTTATAAAATGCTGCCAGGCGTGGTGGCATACACCTGTAATCCCTGCAACTCCCAGTGCCTCAGGAAGCTGAGGCAGGAGGATCACAAGTTTGAGGCCAGCCTGGCTAATTTAACAAGACCTTGTCTCAATATAAATAAAAGGATTGGGAATATAGCTTAGTGGTAGAGCACCTCTGGGTTCAATCCCTAGTACCACCAAAAAGAAAAGGGGGGGAAAAATGTTACTTGTTTATCAGACTTTTAGCAAACAACACAGGAGAGATATTCAGTATGTTCATAATTAGCTTTCTTACATATTAGCAAGGGCTAAATTAAAAACTGGCACATGAAGCTCATGCCTATGGCATTACATGAAGACATGCAGCTTCTTTTTTTGCATAGGTGTGAACTGGCTGCAAAGCTGCCTGGAAATGTCACAAATGTCTCTTTACTGTGAAACTGGATCTACTAAATCATTGATTGACAAACTTTCTATTTTATATAGTAGAGATGAGTTAATTTTCTGGGCAAAAGTTAAGGTTGGAACAACTGCCTTGAAATGTGTTGAATGAATTGAGTAGCTTATCTTATTTTTCAGTTTAACTCCAGCCTAATATCCCCATCTGAATGAGTATAGTTCTAAAATTCTACCCTTCATCTCCATTGTTTAGGGAATTGGTCTATTGGATTTGGTATGATCTATTTGAAGACAGGAGAATAAAAAAAAAAACTACAGTGACTTCACCCTAGCTGAGATGAAGTTGCTCTTGGCAGTTAACATGTTTGGGACTTGGTCATTGGATAGTGACGGACAATAGTAAGCATTGATAATCAACCTGATCATAACAAACTTTCTGTGATGTCCATTTAAAAAAAAAAAAAAAAGGAGCCTTGGGGGGCGGCTGGGGTTGTGGCTAAGTGGTAGCACACTTGCCTGGCATGCATGAGGTACTGGGTTCAATCCTCAGCACCACATACAAATAAATAAAATAAAGGTCCATCAACAACTTTAAAATATTTTTTAAAAAAAAGGAGCCTTCTTTCATTTAATTTATCAAATGGCCCTGTAGAAATGTCTAAAAACTTATGCATGAAAGTGCTTATTTACTTTGCCAATAGAGGAATTATCAAATTTTTAATTTAATTCAATTCCATACTAGGAATTGAACCCACTGAGCCATACTGCAGCCCTTTTTTGTTTTTTGAGACAAGTTCTCACCAAGTTGCTGAGGCTGGTTTCTAACTTGCCATCCTCCTGACTCAGTCTCCAAAGTCACTGGGATTATATATGCCACCATGCTCAGTTTCTGAAATATCATTTCTTTAGTCATGTGATGTTACATGTTTATATTTATAATTGGCTTTTTTTCTATAGATTTGTCCATTCTTATTTATTTGCTTTAATGGCATGTATTATATATTAAAAATACTTTTCCACACTGGGCAAGATGGCACACACCTATAATCCTAGTTGCTCGGTAGGCTGATGCGGGAGGATGGGAAGTTCAAAGCCAGCCTCAGCAAGAGCGAGACACTAAGCAACTCAGAACCTGTCTCTAAATAAAATACAAAAAAGGGTTGGAGATGTGGTTGACTACCCCTGAGTTTAATCCCTGGTTTCCTGTGCGTCCCCCATCCCCGCCCCCCCCCCCCCAAAAAAAGACTGGGAATGTAGCTCAGTAGCAGATAGCCTAGGATGCACAAGGCCCTAGTAACACAGAAAATAATTCTTTTAAATGATATAATGGGGAAGGAAAGGATGTCAGGTTGAGTTACAAATGGACATGAAACAGAATAAATGGAGCACTCTTTTGCACTTTGAGAGACCAAACTTTTAAAAGTTATATATTTTTTTCTTCAGAAGCAGCCTGGCAATAAGGGAGGAGTAGTAACTCCAGTTCCTCCGAAAGGAAGACTCTCTGTGACTTGTACACCAATCAGCCAGCAGCGCTCAAAAGGCCAATCACATGGCCCTGCAAGTCGGAGCACTAGGTATCTGAAGGGGTCAGTCAAGCACTCTCCTCTCTCAGCAGCTAAAATGAGTGTCAGGTAAAGAGGTTGTTCCAAAATTTAATCAGGGGTAAGATTTCAATTGGATTTTATCCAATATGTCCTAATATAGATTAAAAAAATGAGAAAGAGGACCAGGGACAAGAGAAAGATCAGCAGTATTTATAAGTTCTAATCTTAGTCTCACAATTGAGTTCAGTTTTGATTAATAAGTAAAGATCAAGCTAGGCACAGTGGCACAAGCCTGTAATCCCAATGGCTTGGGAGGCTAAGGTAGGAGGATCTCAAGTTCAAAGCCAGCCTCAGCAACTTAGTGACGCCTTAAGTAACTTAGCAAGACCCTTTTTCTAAATTTAAAAAAAAATTTAATGGGGCTGGGAATGTGACTCAGTGTTAAGCACCCCTGGGTTCAATCCCTCCTACCAAAAAAAAAAAGTGAAAATATAATATGAAGTATATGAGAATCTTCATTTTATTACCTTGATATATGCCATCAAAGATGTCGAGAGGAGCTGGGGTTGTGGCTCAGTGTAGAGCACTTGCCTAGCATGTGTGAGGCACTGGGTTCGAACCTAAGCACTGCATATAAATAAATGAATAAAAGTCCATCAACGACTAAAAAAAAATTTTTTTAAATGTCTAGAGAGAAATTTTTCCATTAACTTAAATATGAAAGTGGAACTAGGAGCTCCAATGGTGCAATTGGTTAGCACACAGTACTTGTAAGAGTGAAGCTAAATTCCTACCTCAAGTCTCAATGCAGTAAACTGTAAAATTGACTCTTCCTAAAGTATCCACTAGGCACTGCAGTGTCATAGCCACCTCATGACCCATTAATACCTATATTTTCCATGCCTTTCCTGATATCAAGGTTACCCTTCAACTGTGATCATCCCCACAGGTTAAAATATTTAGGTGCCTTCTAATATTGAAATTTTATTCTCTTCTTTTCATAACAGCAATTGCAGTATCTAATATAGAGTTGTTGCATGTGACTCCCAACATGTGTGATTATCTAACACAGTTTGGGTTTTGTTTTTTGGGTTTTTTTTTGTTTTGTTTTTTTTTTGGTTTTTTTGTTTGTTTTGTTTTTTGGTTGCTTTGTTTTGTTTTTGCCCTCCTAGGGATAGAACTTAGGGCCTGATGCATTTTATATATATGTATATATATTATTTTTTAAATTGGATTTTCGTTGAATCTGAGACACCATTGATTGAAGACATGTGATGTTTTTTGTATTTTATTAGACACATGGTTTATTTTATAAACCATGAAGAAAAATCACTGCCAGTTAACTATTGACATGTTAACAATTATAAAGCGCTTCCCAATTTCAGAGATGTTAATATGTAGGAAAAGTCTGTATCAGAGAATCACTAAAATACACTTATGGTGATTTCCCATGAGTACAAAATGGACTTATTTATGTACAACTCTAGTGATATTTTTCTAGGAAGACATAATCACTCCTCTGGCAGAGCAGTCTTCTGTCTTTCTGACATCTTATCTCCAGGAGGAGGATGAGAAAGGAAGCCTATCAGATTTCCTGGTGAACTGTATGTAACTTGAGGTCTGCAGGATTATTTGTCCTTTATAATGGCATTGGTAAATACTAGAACACCAAAAGATACAAAAAACATATTTTACAAATAATGGAAGTTAACAAATGATTTGCTTTAGCAATACCCTTTCAAGAACATGTTTTTTATGTAAGAGAAGTTCATTCTAATAACAGTATTTATTGAGCCCCTTTAGCTGCCTAGCAATAGAAAAGTGGTTTTATTTCTAAGCTTGACATAATTTACACTTGCCACAAGCACTCAGGTCTTGTACTCCACTGTCCTGTTTAGGTTTTCAGCTGCTACTAAAGATAATGAGCATAAGCATTCAATGATCAAGACTCCAGCTAGAAAGTCTCCACATGTGACCACATCTGGGAAAACCTCAGAAGGCCATGCTGTGCTGGGGACACCCAATTTAAAGACCAACAGAGGGAATTCTGCTGCAGGTAAAAATCAAAACCAAATCAAACGTCTTTATTGGTTCATCTTTAAACTTCATAAAATTAAGTCTCAAAAAAAAATAAAAAGAAGAGCTGGGGATGTGACTCAGTGGTTAAGTGCTCCTGGGTTCAATCCCTGGGGAAAAAAAAAAAATTCAACCATGATGAATTGTTTTTACTGTTTCAATGATTTGGCTATATGCCAATTTATGTATTTTACTGCTCAAAGGTATGGTTATTTCCAGCTTTAATTATTATGTATAGTATAGATAAGAAAACTCTTGAGCAGGTTTCTTATACATGTGCAAATGTATAGATTAGAAGCAAGACTGCTGAATTCGAGAATATTCATACTTTTCCTGTGCTGGCTGAATTGTACCCATCCATGCTCCTACAGGCAGTATATGACAACCTCCATTATCCCACTTCCTGCTTGCACTGGATATTAACACAACGGTATAGCTTAAATACAGGGTTTTGATCTTTTTTTTTTTTAACTAGGTGTTCCTAGATTCTATTGTTCCTTCACAAATACAGGCAAGTGTTGACATTTGGCAATAAACTAGGTACAACTGAGTGGCTCCCCATATGAGAGGAAGTGATTATAAAATGTGCCAGATGTTTGGTACCTAACTATAGCAAAGAGGCTTACTAAATCACACCATTCTGATGTATTTTTAAGTTTTTAGCGGACACAACATCTTTATTTGTATGTGGTGCTGAGGATCGAACCTGGGCCACACGCATGCCAGGCGAGTGCGCTACCGCTTGAGCCACATCCCCAGCCCCTCTGATGTATTTTTAACTTTATGATGGCTGGGGATATAGCTCAGTTGGTAGAGTGCTTGCCTCGCATGCAAAAGGCCCTAGGTTCTATCCCCAGTACCACAAAACAAAAGAAAACAAAAACTTTATGGTACCAAAATTCACATTCTTAAATGATAATAGTCTTTATTAATAACCAGAGTCATGTCACACATTGTGGCAACACCTGTAATCCTAGCAACTCAGAAGGCTGAGGCAAGTTCAAGACCAGCCTCAGCAACTTAGTGAGACCCTATCTTGAAATAAAATATAAAAAGAACCCCAGGGGCTGGGTTTTGTAGCTTAGTGGTAGAATGCTTGCCTAGCACATGTGAGGCACTGGGTTCAATTCTCAGCACTGCATATAAATAAATAAAAATAAAGGTCCATCAACAACTTAAAAAAAAAAAAAAGACCTGGGAATGTAGCTCAGTGGTAGGTGCTACCCCTGGGTTCAATCCCCAGTAACACATATACACACAAACAGCCATGTTAATAACATGTAATCTTTAAAAAGAATATCTACTACTACCACTGAAAAATAACCAAGCTATTTCTTTCTTTTTTTTTTTTTGGAACTGGGAATTGAACCCAGGGGCACTTAACTACTGAGCCATATCCCAGCCCTTTTTCTTTTTCTTTTCTTGTTTTTCCTATTCTTTTTTTTTTTTTTAAGTTGTTGATGGACCTTTATTTTTATTTAT